GCGGTGGGCAGGGTGTGGGGAGAGGGGGGTGGCGGGAGCGCGTGTGCGCGCCATGATTCTGAGCTGGTCGTCGAAGCGCTGGTGGGCGGCCGGGGCGCGGGCGTCAAAGCCGCCCACCGCCGCCGCCCACTCCGCCCTGTCCGGAGGCCGGCCGAGCGACTGGATAAGCTGGTGCCGCACGCGCAGCCACCGCAACAGCTCCTTGACGGCGCTGGCGAGGCGGACCTCCTCCTCATTGTCGAGGAGGCTGCGCGTCCCGATCGACGTCAGGTACCACCGCATCGCCTCGTCGCTCACCGCCGCGTCGCGCTTCCGCCCAAAGCTGCGGCTCCGGTCGACGTCCGGCGACGCCGAGCGCGTCGCGGCGACCATCAGCAGCGGCGGAGGCAGGCGGCAGCGGGCACGGGCGGCGGCGGGCGGCGATGGCGTCGGCGCGGGGAGCAGTAATAAGCCGACCGCCAGGGTCGGCAGGCTGGCAAGCATGCTGGGATGCTGGGAATGAAGCGATCGCCAAGAAAAAGAAACGAGTGCACGTCTCTCTCTCGAGGTTCTCGAGGTGGATATCCTTTGGCCGCGTTGGGTAGCGAGGATTGGTGTAACCCGAGCCACGGAGGCGTGTTTTCTGGCGGCCGACCGTCAGTGCACGGAGTTGCCACTTCTCCGACTGCCCCGGCTAGTTCCCGAGTTTCGCGGGAGTGACCCCATGCGTCAAACCCGAGACCTAGCGCGGGTGGGTTGGAGGGGGCTCGCCCCGTTCCTCCCCATCGGGCCGCATGAGCGGCCACGCCTCGCAGATTCGTTTTCGCGCCTGGGTCAGGCGCGCGGGGCATCCCCCGGGTCGCTCGACCAGCGATCCGAAGAGTGGCCGCTATACAGTGCGAGGCGTGGCGATAGAAATCGGGGCGTCGGCATCCAGCAGCCGATTTCTGTTTCGGCGAGGGAAATCGGGCGAGCCAGCAGCCGATTTCTGTAAGCGATTTCTGCCAAAATTTTCTTCGGCGCTGCGCGCCGGTCACTATACGGTCTAGATACTAGTACACTAAAAGGTTGCCCTGAGATACGAATTCAATCCTCCCGCTTAACCTTTATTTCGTGTGTGCGTGCTCGCTCGTGCCTCGTGCGCCGAACCAAGTTCTGCTTCAACAAACCCGTCGAGAGGCCACGTCACGCCGGTGTCCCCTTTTTCTGCATCTTTGTGGGTGTGGCAGCCCACTTTGCCAGTCCCTAGAGGTGTCTTTGACATTTGACTTCGATGTCTGGTGGGGGACGATTTATGTCTGGTGGGGGACGCAGGTGCTCAAAGGTTGCGGGCGTGTCACCACTCGCGCCTTCGCTCCCGACACTGGGTTCTGGACATGCAACGACATGCCGAAAAGGGAGCGATCCGCGGCGCAGGCACGCGCTGAGGCCGTGTATAGACGCGCCAATCCGGATGATAGGGGCGATCGGGGCCGTGACCGCAGGGCCGAGAAGGTCGAGTACAGACGCAGACTCAAGAAAACGAGAGCGGAGGCCGCCGCCCTCGCGGTGCCTGACGCTGCTCCTGCGGCTCTCGTTCCCGTCCCGATTCCGTCTACCGTCCCTCGGCCACGGGCCCTCGGCCAGCACGGCAGGGGCCACCTGCTCGTCGCGAGGCAGCCGAGCTTGGCACTTCCGCCGCCCCTCGCCGCTCTTCCACCTACAATTGCTCCTCGCCTCGTCGCTCCGATCCCGCCTTTGGCGCCGACCGCGAGCCGGTACGGCGGCCTCGCCCTGCGCGACATCGCCTTTGGCAGCAGCCAGGGTCGCCTCGGCAAGGGCGGCCAAGGCACCGTTAGGCTTGGCCGCCACTACGGTGGTCGTCTCGCGGTGAAGCAGCCGCTGCGCGCGAGCAGCGCCTTCGCCTCCGAGTGTCAGATCGCGGCAGCACTACACCATGAGAACATCATCTATGTGATGGGCTTTGCATGCGCCCCGCGCGAGACGCCGTTCCTCGCTCTCGACTATGCCGACGCAGGGACTCTGGGAGATTTGTTGATCGGGGATCAGAGGGGCGAGAGCCGCTCCCTCGGCGTGCAGATTGCAAGAGCAATGTCGTACCTGCACACGCGATCTCCCCCCATCGTGCACCTTGACCTCAAGCCATCGAACGTGCTGCTGTCGGCGCGCTCTGAGGGGCTTGTCGCTAAGCTGTGTGACTTTGGGCAGGCGAGGCGACTAGCCGTTGGGGCGCAGCTCTCGCACTCAGGCACGCCGGGTTGGCGGGCGCCCGAGCAGGTGCGGGTGGCCCGCGACTTTGCAGTCGTGCCGCTTTCGCGTGGCACCGACGCCTGGTCGCTAGGGTGTGTCCTGGCTGCGCTCGAGGCGCCGTCGGGCGTCTGCGACCCGTACCACTTCGCCACGGGCGACGCGCCAGGCAAGTGCGACTCGCGCCTCCGACACGAGCTCGACGCAATCGTCGCGAACGGCTTCACCCGCCCGTGTGTGCCCGATGAAAGCCGGCTTGCAGGTGTGGTCAGCGCGTGTACGCACGCCCTGCCTAGCGAGCGAGCGACGTGCGCGTGGGTGCGCGCCGAGCTCGAGCAGCTTCTGCTGCAGCCGTGAGCGCAGAGAGTGACGCGCGAGTGACGGGCGAGGCCGATTGTCGATCTCTTTTCTGGTTGGTGCCATGTTTTGAGGGTGTATGAAATCTGTAATTGTCAAATGACACCCGGCTAGGCCGACAGCCCCCCTCCCCCACTCGCCGCGCTAACAGTCTCGCACAAAATAAACAGCCGGGAGCCGGGTCAGGTCGTGTGGGCACAGCCTCAGCAGACACAGCCTGCGCGACGAGCCGGCCCGCCTAGGCAAAGGGCGAAAAGCAGAGGATCGCCGCATTCACGCCGTTGCGGCGCGACGGCGTCAGTCCCTCCGGCGTGACGGGCGGCGCGGTAACACGCGCCCGTTTCTTGCCGCCGGCGTTGACCGGAGCGGTCGAGGACGATGCCAGCAGCCGATTTCTATTTCGGCCAGGGAAATCAGCCAAATTTCCAGCAGCCAATTTCTAAACACCGATTTCTAAGGCAAGAGCACGCACTGTACCTACCTCCAAGTGCTCCATTTCTTCCTCCGTAACGCAACGAAAGATTACGGAAGAACGTGGGGCGAGACCAAACTTACGCTAGATTGGAGGGAACGGTTTTTTTTCGCTTCTCCGCCTTTCAAAAGACCCGTCTCTCGTCCTTAACCGAAATGAAGAAGAAGAAAAACTCACACCCTCACATTGACCCTCACACACCGATGGCCTCCCACCGCATCGGCGCCCGCCTGTCTGGCCTCTCGCCAGAGCAGCTCGTCGCCTTCATCGACGAGCAGGCGCCTCTCTGGAGCGCCGCCGCAATGCGCGTGGCGGAGGAGCACGCCGAGCTCGGCTCGTGGAGCAGCCCGAGTGGGTGCTCTCCGAGGTCCTCCTCTCGCCGGACCTCGCCCCGCACATCCTCGCCCAGCTGCCGATCACGCAGCACAATGAAAGGGGACTTGCCCCGCGTGGCGCCGCGGCTGGAAGGAGATGCTGAAGAAGCGCGAGAGGCCGCGCCTGCTCGTGGTCGGCGGCCAAGACAGCGAGGGTGGGACTGTCAACTCGCTGGAGGGTACGACCCGTCAACGAACGAGTGAGAGGAGGAGGCTGTGGCGCCGATGCCGACGGCACGAAGGTTTGTCGGCACGGCGGTGCTCGATGGCAAGCTGTACGTGGTGGGCGGCCAGAGCGAGGCTGGCAGAGCAACTTCCAACGTGGTGGAGCGGTACGACCCCGCTACGAATGCGTGGGAGTCGATGGTGCCGATGGCGGAGGCGCGGGGTATCGTCACGCCGTGGTGGTGCTCGACGGCAAGCTGTATGCTGTGGGAGGCTTCAACAACGGCTTCCTCAGCTCGGCGGAGCGGTACGACCCGGCGCTAGATGTGTGGGAGGAGGTGGCGCCGATGGCGACGCCACGCATGAATCACGCCGTGGCGGTGCTCGACGGCACGCTGTACGCTGTGGGAGGCTTCAACAGGAGCGGCGTCATCAGTTCAGTCGAGCGGTACGACCCGGCGGCGGGTGCGTGGGAGGCGGTGGCGCCGTTGGCGGAGGGGCGGGACGGTCTCGGCATGGCGGTGCTGGACGGCAAGCTGTACGCTGTGGGCGGACAGGATGCCTTGTACAACGCATGCCTGACGGGCAGGTGATTTCTTTTTTCGGCGTTAGTTTTTCTCACTTCCGGGCCTCTTCGAACGCCGACAGCTGACGCCGAGGTGAAAGCGTACCCCCCTCGCGCGCCACCCGCCTCCTTCCCTCCGCCGTCTTTGCGTCTCCAAGCCCTGCAGATGCGTCGCTGGTTCGCCTCGCTTGCCATTCTCGGGCTGTCGCCTCCAGCGTCTGCGGGAAACGGCTACTCGCTGAGCTTTAGCCAGCCCGGCTCGGTGGTCGCGACTCGACGGCTCTACCTCGATCCTGATGACTTAGAGCTGCGGCGGATGGCCAGCGGCTTTACCTTCATGATGTGGCTTCGCTTCAACGACCTCACTGCGTCGCGGCCGGCCATCCACTGGGGCCTGGGCTGCACCTCTGACGTGAGTGCACGCACAAACGTGTACCCTAAGTTTCTCACATATACACACAGTGCTGTCGGTCGACCCTGACGGTCTCTAGTAGTCTCAGGAATCCCACTGTCGGACAGCCGCAGTTGCCGCCCAGCCCGCCTCCCCTGCCGCTGTCCGACCTGATACGCCTTGTCCGCAGGGCAACTTCATGCAGCCGTTCGCCGGCATTCACGGAGGGTTCCAGCTCGGCGGCAGCGCGCCCGAGCCGTCGGCCGTCGGCAGCGTAGAGGACGCCACGCAGTGGCATCACTATGCGCAGAGCTGGAACGCCACGGATGGCAGGCGCGTTGTCTACGTCGACGGCGTCGAGGTGAGTAGCGACGCGGCCGGTGACGGCGCCGCGTACATTGGCGGTGCCTTCCTAGACGACGACGCCTTCATGTACATCGGGATGAACGTGTACCCTCAAAAGTGGGGCCTGGACGAAATCACGCACGGCAACCCGCAGATGAGCTTTGACGGCGAGATAGACGACCTCGCCATCTACGCTGGCAAAACTCTTCACGCGTGCACCTCAATGCTGTGAGCAGCGTCTCTTCACACCTCTCGGCTGTGGACAGGCCCTCTCTCCAACGAGTCGATCGCCGCGCGGGCGCGCCTCGCCGGCGAGGACCTGCTAGGCGACGACTGCCTGTTCCTCTACACCTTTGATAACGCCAGCCTGGACGTTGTCGCCAACCTTGGCCGGGCTGGGGGGAACGAGTCTGCCAACCCGTACGATTTGCGTTTCGCCCAGTTCCCCAAGCCGCCTGGCGCGGAGGACTTGGGCCGCAAATTCTCGCGCGGTAGCGGCACGTCGGCCGCGTTGTTGGTGGCACCGTCCCGCATCCCCAGCTCTCGCACGCACGTCAGCTCCGTCTCCGCGCCGAGTGTCGTCTCGGCGCTGCCCGGCGCAAACGTCACCGTCGAGACTGCCAACGGCCCGCGCCAGCTCACGGCTCCGACCGACGGCAGCACGCTCTTCGAAGGACGTGTGCACGTCGTGCCTCGGCTGCCGCCCACCACTGAGCGTCGGGACGTTTTTGCGAGCGAGCGCACCTTCGAGGACCGCGAGGTGAGCCTGCAGCTCGTGGGCAGCTCCAACTTCGCGCCCGGCATCGAGCTCAAGCCAGTAATCACTAGCCTGCCTTCGAATGGCGCCCTCTTCGCCACCAACGACTCGCTCGCCGGCTCCGAACAGGGCATCGCGATCAGCGAGTCGCAGCAGACAGTCGACACGGTGGGGCGCTACGTCCGCTACAAGCCAGCAGACCATTTCGTCGGCGTCGATACCTTCACGTATTCGCTCCTCGCGCCCGGGGGCGTCCTCTCCGAGGAGAGCACGACCGTCCGCGTGGAGGTCGAATCGGACAACGACATGCCGACCATCGCCCCGATTGCGAAGCGCATCTCAGAAGACTCTGGCGACCTGGTCATTCGGCTGACGCCCAACGACGTCGAGGACGGCCAGCCACTCGAGCTCGCGATCACGCAGCTCCCTAGGTTAGGCGACCTGTACCCCTACAACGAGACTAGCGGCGCGGCGCAGGACGGCCCTCCGATCACGCAGGTCTACTCGACCTTCAACGTCGGTGCCGTGTTTGGGCAGTACATCTCCGCGGTCATCAGCTCGAGCTCCTTCTGGGGCAACCCTCCGAGCATCGACTACCACCCGCTCGCAGTCATTGGCAAGCCCGACTGCGGGACGTACGGCGAGTGCTCCACGAGCGGCGAGTGGGTATCGGACGCGTCACGCCCGATCCCGCCCGGCGTGCTTGCCTACCACGAAGTGGACGGCATCAAGGCGGCGGCGTACGTGAGGAGCTCGAACGAGGCGAAGGGGACGGTCGAGATCGACTACGTGCCCATGTACAAGCGCGACGCGGGCGTACTGCGCCGGTGCCTCATTGACCCTAGCGTCAAGGTTGACGAGGGCGTCTCCGCCTACCCCGGCGGGTGCGTTTTGGATTCTGACGAGCCGGTCCCTAAGAGCGTGCCCCGGGCACAGATTGTCCCTCTAGCCGCTGGCGTGTGGAGCCCGCTCAAGCAGGGGCTGGTCGACGAGAATTTGAGCGACCCCGACAAGTCGGTCGCCTTCGGCGCGCAGTTCCTCGTCGACCATCGGCAGCGAGACTTTTACCCGCCGTTCACCGAGTACATTGACGTGGCGATCGCACGGCCCGTCTACGTCGTCCGGCTCGAGATTGGCTCCCCGCGAGGGATGGGACAGGTCGTAAAGATCCTGGCCCAGAGTCCGGACGGCTCGTGGGTGGAGGTATACTCGGGCAAGCCGCAGCGCGAGGTTGCGACGAAGTACACTAGCATGCGCACCTACCACCTCTGGGCGCCCTCAATTTGTCGAACCCATTTCCCCGTCTCGGTCCTGCGGATCGCGGTCGACACCAGCGCAGAGACCGGCATTGACGACTGGCGCGAGATCGCCCGCCCATTCCCCGCCCCTCTGATAGCCACTATCCTCATCCCCCCTCCCAATCCTAGGAACTACATCGATTATGTCGAAGTGTTCGGCTCGGAGGCGCTGCAGCCCGCCGCAATCCGCACGACGGCTCGTGCGGTCGTGTACCGTCCGCACGACAATGCCGTCGGCGAGGACAGCTTCCGCTACGTTGCGACGGACTGTCCCGGCGACCCTTTCCGCACGACGGAGTCGGAGCTCGTCTCCATCTCGATCGTCGCCGTCAATGACGCGCCCAAGGCGGTCGGAGTGCCCGTTGACGACGCGGTCGCTTTCCCGCTGAAAGGTCTAGTGGGCGCGAGCTTCTTCTCGATGAAGGCGCGAGACGTTGACAGGTCGGACACGCTCACGTTCAAGATCCACAGGCTGCCGACTCACGCGACGCTGTCTGACGCGGCGGGAGAAATTGGGATTGGGCGAGTGATCCCGATGGCCGCGGCGCCCGTCGCGGGCGGAGAGATCCCCTGCTCTGAGGCTCAACCGTGCCCGTCCAGCCCGATGACTGGCTCTCTTCTCTTTTGCAGCGTCGCGTCCCCGCCCAACGGGACGTGCGCTTGGTGCGACGACGTCGACGATTGCGACACCAGCGCCAACCTGACGATTTGGAGCAGGGGGACTTGCCGGACCGCATGCCGCGCGCCGGTGTCTCCCCCGCTGGTGGAGTCGGCCCAGGTGAGCATACAGACCGAGGTGTGCGGACCCGACTCGTTCTCCTTCTCGGTCTCTGACGGCGTGAGCACTTCGGCCGGCGCGACGGTCCACTTTGTCTTCCAGTGCTCCCGGCGGTGCGACCGAGCAGACATGCTCTCCGAGACAAGCGACTGCGACTCGTCGGACCCTCCGGTGAGGAGGACCACGTGGCGATGGGATGACGCCAGCGACTGCGACCTGCCGCGCGCGGGCCTGCAAAGGCCGGCTCCGGGCGGGCCCGCTGGGGTGAATGTGCCAGCCACTGGCCGCTGGGCGCTGCCCGCCTCGACCACGGAGGAGTGCTCGTCGAACGACGACTCGACGACCCTAATTGTCGTCGTGTGCAGCGTCGTGGGGGCCGTCCTCCTCCTGGGTTGCTGCTGCGCCGCCTATGTCGTGCGGCGGCTGCAGCGGCAGCGGCACAGGCCAAATCAGCAGTTCCTGTGCCGCCGGACGCACTTGCCTCCCGACATCGCCCCAGTGGGCGCGGACGAGTTCCACCTCTTCCTGAGCCACACGTGGCTGTCTGGGCAGGACCAGATTGCGATGATCAAGCAGCAACTCTTGGGCTTTCTGCCCGCCCATGTGCGTGTCTTTCGCGACGTCGATGACCTTGAAAACATCGACCGCTTAGAGGAGTACGTCGCCAAATCACAGGTCGTGCTGCTCTTCCTTAGCAAGGGCTACTTCCTATCGCGCAATTGCCTGCGCGAGGTCCGAGCGGCAGTGACAAGCAGCAAGCCCGTCATCCTTGTCCACGAGCACGCCGAGGCCAAGGGCGGCGACCGGCTCGAGGTGCTGCGGCAGGAGTGCCCAGAGGAGCTGCGCGAGCTCGTCTTTGACTCCAAACGGCCGCTCGTGCGCTGGCATCGCCTCAGCGACCTGAACCGAGTCTCGTTGCTGCAGATCGCGTCACTGCTACACACGTTTGGGCGGAGTCTCAACGCGCTCTACCTGCCAAACTCGCTCACCGAGGAGACAATCTCAGTCTCTCACCCGGTGCGCATCTTTGCCAGCCGCGACAACAACCAGGGCGCCAACCGCATTCTAGATGGGATCGTTGCCGCCGCCGTCCCCGCGGCCGGTCCGACCTCGTTCGGCGAGCGACGTGGCCGCCGCGCGATCCTCGGCGGTGGCTGGCGAGGCGGGAACCGCACCACCTCCACCGACGTCCCTCACGTCGAACGGCAGTTGTCCGACGTGAAGCTGGCGCGTCACTCTGGAGCTGTCGGGGCGAGCGTCAGGATCCAGCGCGCTTGGCGTGGATTCGCCGCGAGGACCGAGCTAAAGCCTTCGGACCTGCGCATCCACTGCTCGATCGAGCGCGCGGACAGCCTGAGCGATGCGACGCACATGCTGCTCTACCTCACATTGACAACCTTCGACGCCAACCGCGCGGGCGCCGACGCTCTCGCCAACGAGATCCGCGAGGCCCGGCAGCGCGGGATCTCCCTGGCGCGCTCTGCACTAGCTGCACCGCACTGAGCCCTCTGCCGCCTCCCGAGGGCCCAGCTCTGACGCTCGTTGCCTCTCGCTGCAGGTCATGGTGCACGAGCAGCGCGAGGGGCGCCACAGGTGCACATTCGACCACGTGAGGTATACGACGCCCGAGGACCTCGAGCGTGGCGGCGTCTACAACGACATCGCGATCCCGCTCTTCTCCTCACCCATGGAGCAGGCCGTCTGCGTCGCGCTCGCGTACCGGCAGCTTGACATCCGTTCTTGAAAAAGTGGGCGCACCGATCGCCAACGTCGCATGTAGAGTCATGATTTGCCCCTCCACTAGCCGTAGCAGCCTGTCTGTCTGGGTGGAGAGGGCTGTAGGTGCGCGACGTTGGGGACGACTGTACACTACCTTCGGTGCGAGTCCACACCATAGGCGCGCCGATTGCCAACGCCGCATGTAGAGTCATGATAGACGCTTTGCCTCTCCACTAGTCGTAGCAGCCTGTCTGAAGTCGCGGCGCCGGTGCCCTCGCATGTGCTCTGCTGTACTAGCCATGTTCGTTGCGCCCGCGTGTACAGTAGAAGCGCGCGCACCAAACAAAAAATCGCTCCGGGCTCCGAGCGGCGAGCGTGATTTCTTTGTGTGAAATCGCAAGGACCAAGGTGTGATTTCAAGAGCGTGATCCTTGTGTGAAATCGCAAGGTGTGATTTCAAGAGCGTGAAAATGACGTGCCGAGCTTTCGGATATCATGACTCCATAATATCATGGCGAAAACCATGATATGATGCAAGCGGGGAAATCCTGATGTGGCTGGCTGGGTACCTTACCGACCGTAAAGGCTTCGTAGGCCCCGGATGGGTGGTGGGTGGGTGGGTGAGTGGGTGGGTGGGTGGGTGTTTTTGGGGTGGGTTTGTTTGGTCGTTTCTCTCTCCCCTCGCGCGCGTCTTCGAGGCACAGCTCTCGTCGTTGCCACAGCATGTCGTTCCTCGCACCGTGCCCACGCGTCGGCACCAGCTGACCGAGATCGCGCTCCCCGACGCGCGACGGCTGCCGCGTGCTTTACGGGCGGCTTACGGCGCGCTCAACAAGTCCTCCGAGGGCGGACTGCTGTTACGCTCGACGAGTGGGGGGGGCGACGCCGCTCGAGCAGCTCGAGGGGTTCAAACGCGATGCGACCATCGTCTCCGCCGAGCTCGACGACGAGGCGGCCGTTATTATCTGACTCCTGTCCTCGGGAGGGCGGCGGCGGCGGTGTAGAGTCGGCGGCGCGCTCCCGATGACAAATATTCGCCTCACACGGCTGCTCACACGCCCAGCCGTGCTCTGGTGCATCGCATGGGTCGCCTCTGCCGCCGAAATGTCGAGGCTGGGGCGCACTCATCGACTTGGGCTATTATCTGCCCTCGGGAGGGCGGCGGCGGCGGAGTAGGGGCGGCGGCGAGCTAACGGTTGCAAATACTCGCCTCACGGTCCAAGATGGGAGGCGGCTCGCGCCCGCAACCGTGCACCAGCGTGCCTCTCTAGTCCCGCCTGCCACCCAGATACCGAGAGCTGGACGCACTCATCGACTTGGGCTATTATCTGCCCTCGGGAGGGCGGCGGCGGCGGAGTAGGGGCGGCGGCGAGCTAACGGTTGCAAATACTCGCCTCACGGTCCAAGATGGCGGCTCGCGCCCCCAACCGTGCACCAGCGTGCCTCTCTAGTCCCGCCTGCCACCCAGATACCGAGAGCTGGACGCACTCATCGACTTGGGCTATTATCTGCCCTCGGGAGGGCGGCGGCGGCGGAGTAGGGGCGGCGGCGAGCTAACGGTTGCAAATACTCGCCTCACGGTCCAAGATGGCGGCTCACACGCCCAACCATGCTCTCACTGGTGCGTCGATTGGGTCGCGGTCTGCTGCCCGTGTCTCTCTGTCTTATCGGCGCGACGACAACAAGCTACCCCTACCCCTAAGCCTAACCCTAACCCTAACCCCAACCCCAACCCTAACCCTAACCCTACTAACCCTAACCCTAACCCGAAGAACTCGGAGCATTCACCGAGAGCTCGCGTCAACGGACCGCTGGTTCCTCCATTCCGACCCGAAGCGGCCCGTTCTTAGGAGCTGCATAACGGCTTTTGAACTCTCTGACCCAACCCTAACCCTAACCCTAACTCTAACCCTAAAACCCTAACCCTAACCCTCGGCTGTGGGTCCGGCTGTGCTGTATAAGGCGCGCGGGGCTGGGTGCTTTGCTACCTTGCTTGTGTCTCCCGTGGCCGGTGGTTGGTTGGGTGGTGGGGGTGGGTCGGTCGGTGTGCGGGTGGGTTTCCTCGCCTCATCAGCCGCGGGCCGTGAGGTGGGTGGGGCCGGGGTTGGGTGGGTGGTTCCAAGCCCCAGCCAGGCCGTGAGGTGGGTGGGGTGGGTGGGTGGTTCCAAGCCTCAGCCGGGCCGTGAGGTGGGTGGGTGGGTGACTCAAGAAGCTCGTGCACATTTAGGTTAGGTTAGGTTAGGTACGGCCAAGCTGGCTTCCTGCACCCCGTCGCGCCACGACAGCTGCACGAGCACCCCTTCGAAAAGCATATATGCGCCTACGCATCGCTGCGTGCCTCGCCACCGTCGCCGCTGCCACGCTCCCACCTGTGGTCGTCAGTGGCGCCACGGGTCGCGTCGGTTCCGCCGTCGTCCGCTCCCTCGTGTCTCGCCGTGGCAGTGCCGAGGGCGTTTATGTGCTGGCCCGGGACGCCGAAAAGGCACAAGCGATGCATGAAGGCGTGCAGTGCCTCTGTGCCGCATACGACGACGCGGAGGCGCTCGCGGAAGCTTTTGGGTCCGTCCCTTCGGGCTTTCGGCTCTTTGTCGCGTGCAGCAACTCGCCCCAGCAGGCTGCGCCGAGGGCGGTCTGTGCCGCGCGGCCCACTCGTCTGCACTCTGCTCACACCTCTGGCCGTGAACAGGCGTGGCCGGCCCTCTACGTGAGGCTGACGAGTGCTCGCACCCGTTCGCCCTTTCTCCGATCTCAATGATCGATGTGCGCGACGTCGCCGACTGCGCCGCCGCGCTGCTGGACGGCGCGCAGACCGGGCGGGGCACTGGGGGTGAGTGGTTCGACCTGACTGGCCCGCAGATTGCATCTCGGAGCTTCGCCCGAGGCCCGTGTCCATCACCGCGTGCGACGCGGATGCATTTGTGGCACAGAGGGAATGAAGCGATCGCCAAGAAAAAGAATTTATCATAGCCGAGAAAAAGAAACGTTCGGCACCTCTTCCGCACTTTGTCCAAATGCACTCCAAGTGCTCCATTTCTTCCTCCGTAACGCAACTAAAGAGTACGTCTACGTGCAGCTACAGGAGGCGCGCCGGCAAGAGGCCAAGACCCACGGCCCACGCGCGGTGGCGCGCCCTGCCAGCTGCCTCGCGGTTGTCCGTGTCATCCTCTCGGCCCATAGCGTGTGAGAGTGAGTATACGCTTTATGTGAACACACACACACACACACACACACACACACACACACACACACACACACACACACACACACAAATCTCTCTAAAATCTCTCTCACCCAACACCCAACACACACACACACACACACACACACACACACACACACACACACACACACACACACACACACACACACACACACACACGCACGCACGCACGCACGCACGCACACGAGAGCATGCCCCGGCCGGATCTCTAGAGGGTCACTCCGACGGCCCCGGGAGCCTCACGCAGCAGCAGTGCGCGAGGCTGCTTGCGCCGGTCTCACCACAGTCCTCCGCCGCCTGCACTGGATAGTCGCGATGCAGCTCGCAGGGCGCCCCCGACGGTAGCAGCGCAGGGGGCAGCGGAAACCACTCGTACGCCTTGCACCAGTCCATGCGGAGACACGCCTCCGCGCCTGCTCACACAGCGAAATGTCAAGACTCGCGCCCGCGGGGACGCCAGCGCGCCGAGCGGCTCAGTGGATAGAGCGGCGCATTTACTCTCGGTGTCGAGGCCCTTGAACGCGTCGTACAGTCCTGTGCCGCAAAAGTTGTCTCGACAGCCGCCCGGCGAGGGCATCTCGTAGAACCCGGGCGGGCAAGCCGGCGCTCCGGCAGCGCAGCCCAGGGGTGGCGGCGGGGGTGAGTTCGGCAGCGGCGGCGGCGGTGGCCAGCAGCCCGTGAGAAGAATGCCCTCGCACACGTCGTTCTCCGGACCCGACGGCGCCACGCATAGCCGCCACCTGTCTTTGTCGGGGTCGATATGAGGCCCATTATGGTAGAAGAAATTGCTGCAGTTGTTTTCTGGATAGCGGACGTTTTTGCAGGCGCCCTCGGTGAGCACCGTGCGGACGGCGAGATCACTGCACGCGAATGGCGGCGGCGGCGGCGGCGGCGGCGACGACGACGACGGCAGCGGGACGGTGGGCTCGTCGCGGAGATATCCCGCGCCGAGAAGCAAAAGGGCTGAAGCCATGCGTCCGGTAGACCGCGCACCTTCAAAGGATGTGTCACGAGAAAGGAAGAATTTTAACTGAGAAGCGCCCTTCACAGCAGAGTGTGTGTGTGTGTGTGTGCACTCACTCACTCACAGCAGACTGGCTCGGACTGGCACTACAAAAGGCACGGTAGGCGACGGCCCCTTATGGGCCGTAGAAGAGGAAAGGAAGAAAACAAAATATCTCGAGATTCTCGAGGCACATGTTGTACATGCATACTTGGCCGCGTTTGCGTCTCTGTCTAGATAGATAGCGGCGGAAGAGATTGCGACCGAGCTCAGGCTCGCCGCGGCGTCGGAGGACGCCGCCGTCGCCTAGACTCCCCTGCGTCACTACGTGCCTCCCCGTCTTTGTAGCCTGGCGTTTGTGCCCCGTTTGTGCCGCGTCCCGTGCCCCGAGTTCATTTTAAGATAGTTAGTATGGATTGGCGTCCGATTCTGCGCGGCGCCACCGGCGGCGCGTCGGAGTGGCGGCCGCCACTCGCGTGGTGCCAAGAGGTTCTCCGGAACCCTTACGCGCACCACGGCGGCCGCCTTCAACTCCCCGAGCGGGGCCCTAGGACCAAGGGCGCGCTCGGCAAATTCCTGCGCTTTGCGCAGGGTCACAACCCCTGGGCCAGTTGTTGGTGGAACCACCTCAAGGCCAGCGCGCATGCGCGGGCGATGGACTGACTCCAGCAGCTCAAGGGCTCGCGCTCTCCTCACCGCCGCGCGCGCGTTGCAGCAGGAGTGCCGCAAACCGCAATGCGGCATTGTGCGACTACCGCATCGTGCCGCAGCTGCACCGCTTCTCCTCGGACATCATCGTGAACTCGGTGGTCCGCTGCGAGGACGCGGTCAGCACCGCGCAGGATCTCTTCTGAGAGCCGGCGCGGATCGCGGATGCGGCTTGAAGGCTCTGCCGGCGGATCTGTGGCCTGGCGCCTGCCAGACTGCGGGTCCAAACACCCCGGCGCTCGCGCGCGCCACCGCCCCCGGCGCGGGTTGGGATATCAGTTCGTGAGTCCTGTGTCCTGTCCCTGTGCCCCACCTTCTTCTCCTGTGTCGGTCCCTGAGAACCCCACTATACAGCGCCACCTCGTGAGCTGTTCTGTGAGCTGTGTGCTGTGTGTCCAGCAGTCCGGACCCAGTGCTACGGCCGGTGACAGCGTGCCTCGTGTCGGCTCCCGAGCCAATCGTGTGCAGCGTGTGTGTGCGTGTGGGCCCGTCCTCCATGCTTGGAGGTGTGTAAGACAGACAGAAAGATTGGCGTCCGAAACGTACACGGTGCCGCGAGCATTACATCGCTCGCTCGATGGAGGAGCGTGAGCTCCGATCGATTGTGGCCATCGCTGTCTCCTCGGCCCTTCTATTCCTCCGAAGCGGTGGCCGCCAAGCCTCACCCTCGAGCGCGAGCCAGGAAAGCGAGGGCTCGCAACAGCTCGCCCAACAGCTCGTGCAAAGCGAGACTGCGAGTTGTCGCCCTCTCGACCTCCTCCCTGAAGAGATCCTAGAGCAGGAGAACACCTGACATATGGTCAGCATTTGATAGCCGCATACCGAGTGCGAGCAGCTGACACACACATAAGCAGGCCGGCTCTCCCTAGGTCCTGCAGCACCTGCCTACGAGCTGATCGAGCGGCGCGGCACCGCTTCCGCTGATCAGGAAACGCCTCTCCTCCCGTAACCCTCTCCAACCCTCGCCCTTTCGGCCGTATATGCCAGCCGCACACGTGCCCGCCCCGACACCCTCGCCAAAGCACCGCCTAGCCCAAGGAAATTGACCCTCCATCTGCAGGACCGCTCCCTCGGAAGTGACGCCTGGTCGGAGGTCCTGCACGTGCTCCTCCGGTCTGGTGACGGCATGGAGGCCTCCGACAGCCGTGACAGTGTGCTGTGGACAGCCTCGACGTGCAACACGCGCCAGACGCAGCAAGATCGACAGTTCACAGCACAGCTCGTGGTCAGCACAGAGTTGTTGCTCCTCGGACTCTCTGGCAGAGTCTACCCCGTGCGGACGCCCTTCCGCGCCTCGGGCGCCGTCGGTTTTGCAGTCATCGACCCAGCCGCCGCGGAGGCCCTTGTTGATTTTCAAGTCTATGCGCGCCGCCGGGCGGACGGGGCGGTCGCTCACCTCGCGGATCTGGCGATAGCGACCGAACCATGGAGCGAAGGTGATGACGACGGGGAGCTTCCAGCCTCTGGCCCTTTGGCTGACCTGATTGGCGACATCGGCCAGGGGTACGGCGATAGTAGGTGTGGCCGGCTAGTGCTTCGGATCCGCAGCGCCGACACCGCGCTGTACCTTCTGCTACCGCCCCTTAGTACACTTCGAGAGGCCGGCCCGCCGCGGCTGCACTGGGTGTGGTGACGGCCCACCATGCCCCATCGGCATGCTCGCGTGTTCGTTTGTTTCTTTTGGGGGAGTCGCTTAGGCGGCTCCCGTGGTGTGCCTGTGTTAGTGCCAGTGCGCGTTCAGCGGCGGCGACGGCGACGGTGGCAGCGACGGCGGCGGCGGCGGCGGCAACGGCGGCGGCGGCGGCGGCGGCGACAGCGGCGGCAACGGCGGCGACGGCGACGGCGGCGGCGGCGGCGGCGGCGGCGGAGGTGGTGGCGGCGGAGGTGGAGGCGGTGGCGACGGCATCGAGCCGGTGCCGGAGCCGCGGGACCACCTCGGCTACTCTAACGACTACCGGCCCGACGTCTCGGTGGCGGGCGCCGGCCGCTCGCGCTCGCGCCTCGTCGGCGACGTCAAGTTCAAGGACTCGCTCTCCTCCAACCCGGAGGACGTCGGCCAGCGAGGCGCTTTCGTCGGCCTCGGCAACACCGAGCCCGGCACGAGCGCGGACGTCTTCGGCCTCGAGCAGCGCGGCGCTGTCGGGGACGGCGACTTCAGGCCGAGCGACGGCGGCGGCTATGTGGCGTACAAGAAGGCGGACTACGCGCACGCCCTCTCGCGCTCGGACACCGACGTGCAGATGTACCTGTTCGAAACCTTCGGCGGGTGGTGCAACGCGGTCAAACGGCTGTTCTACCAGATGAAGGACAAGGTGGGTGCGCAACAAGCTCTCGAAGCGGCAGCACGAGGACGAGGCGAGCTGGTCGACGCGGTCGTGGCTGTCGCTGCAGGCCCAGCGCATGTCAGTCGCGCTGCAGCTCGCGGCGGCGGAAGAGATTGCGACCGAGCTCAGGCTCGCCGCGGCGTCGGAGGACGCCGCCGTCGCCTAGACTCCCCTGCGTCACTACGTGCCTCCCCGTCTTTGTAGCCTTGCGTTTGCGCCCCGTTTGTGCCGCGTCCCGTGCCCCCGAGTTCATTTTACACAACACATGAGACAGATTGCCGCGACACTGTCGTGCCAGGAGGTGTAAAAATCTTTTGGGCCAATTTGCGAAGTGTCCAGCGTCTCTGAGGACGCCTCGATGGGTTCCTTCGCCAAGGCCTGGTCTCAGCTCGGCAACATCGCCGCCGCCAGACTCGCGGCTCCCGCCACGTCCAACTCGTCACGTGGCATCCTGCAGGCCTCCGTCGAAAACAAGACTGGACTGTCTCGCATGCTCGACAGCACGCTCCGTGAAGGGCACGACATGAAGACGTTCGGGCTGGGCACCGCCGCCAGCCTGGCCTCGGTCGAGCGGTACGCACGCTTCACCGCGGCCATGTACCACGTCTACACGGCGATGGAATCCTCGCTTGACGCCGCCAAGTCGCCCGCCGTCGCGCCGTTCTGGAGCAGCTTCGGCGGCGATCTGCGGAGGAGCGACGCTTTGGCGCTCGACCTCGCCGACGTGGCCGCCTCATCCTCGTCGCACCCTCCGACGCCGGCCACGCGAGACTACATGCGCGCCATCGAGGCGGCGGGTGCGAAGGACGAGGAGGACGGCGGTGGGCGGCTGATCGGCCATGCGTACTGCCGGTACTTTGCGGATCTAATGGGCGGGCAGTTCCTGGCGGCGCCGACGCGGTACGCGCTATCCCCGGCCGTCGGCGAGGGCACGCCGCGCCACTACGACTTTGGCGCCTTCGGAGCGGAGCGCAAGGCGAGCGTCGAGCGGCTGTACGCCAGCTTCAACGAGGCGGGTGATGCGCTCGCCTCCGAGGCGGCGCGGCGGGCGGTGGTGGAGGAGGTGCTGCTCGCGTATCGGCACAATGTGGCCGTCTACACCGAGGAGGGCGCCGTGTGGAGCGGCGCGCTCCGCGGCGCGGCGAACCTCGCGGGCGGAGTGGCGCGTGCGAAGCTGCAGATGCCGCGCGCCGCCGCGCCGTCAGAGGCGGCGGCCTGATACAAGTCGCGGACAAAAAAAGAGACTACACACAATCCAGACCGCGAGGGTGGGTAATCAAGGCGTGGCACCGGCTTGTGTCGCTGACGACCGCAGTGTGCCAGTGTCGATTACCAGTCAGCAGTACATACGCACAGCAGAGGAGTGCCGTCCCCATCTCGACCACACTGCTCAGTGCTCACTGGACGCCAGTGGAGTGCCGCACATGGCACCTGCCGCAGAGTGGAGAGTGTAGATTGGTGTGGGTGTGGGTGTTAGGCCCTTGGCGTTCGCAAAAATGGCGCGTCAAAGGTAAGTCAAAAGGATGGACTAGGAAGTGCCAGCAGCCCAACTGTGGCCGCGCCGGCGCTCTCGCTGCCCGTCAGAGCGCCGCCAGGTTCTCGGCCTGCACCAAGAAGCAGCTACGGATGTGCTCCTGGCCGTCCATCTTGACGATCCAGCGGCCGGCCGGCGGCTGCGTCGGGTCCCATCGCTGGATGGTTCCGGCACACCCGTTGAGCGCCGCCTCTGAGAGGAGCCCGCGCACCCGCACGCGCGCGCCGGCGCGCAGGCTCGGGGGAAGCGGGGGGCATCCCGACAGGTGCCAGCTGCACAGCCGCTCAAAGTCCTCTGCGCGGCTGTCGATCGCCTCCTTGGCGGGCGAGAGGAGCTGCAAGATGGTCGTCCGCTCGTTCGGGGGCACCCCAGCAAGCCGGACGGCGCTTTGGCCCGCGGTGGTGACGCACGGCCTGCGGCGCAGCGCCGAAGCCGCCGGCTGCGCCAGCAGGACGGACGGGCCCGCTTCCTGCGTGGAGGGCGAAAGGTTCTTGGCGAGCACCCGAACCGCCCAAGGCCGGCCCGGGTCGCGGCCCTCGAGGAGCGAGCTCGGCGCAGGCGGTCCGATTCCAATGTTGATCATGACTGAGTAGCGCCGACCGCCCTCCGCCGCCACTCCGAGAGTCGCGATTCGGCCGGCGAGGCCGTGGTAGGGGCGGATCGGAGACCAAGTCTCCGCGGTGCTCAGGGGCGCCGTGCTGACAACCTCGTCGGAGACGTCGACCTCGGAGATGCGCACGATCATGCCTGCCGCTAAGAGGATCGGCTCTGGCCGCGAGGTCGAAGCCGGGGCGTTGTCCTCACGCGCCGCTGAGTCCGCATAGTACCCGAGCCCGTGCTGGCCGCGCCAGCTGAAGAGGAAGCCCGGCCGTTCGCCCTCGTACTTCGCCGCCGCCTCGAAGGTCATCGCGCCGGCCGAAAAGATGCGGAATCTAGGCGGAGCGATGTCGCCGCTGAAGAAGCGAAACACCGCCGCGTTTGAGGCGCGCTGCCAGCCCTGACTCACCGCCGAAACCGCCTTGTAGGTGCCGCCCTGGGGGAGCGGCTCGGCCGCCTTCCACTCCTTTGTCCGCTCGTCCCAGCGCCTGGGAAGGGGCCGGTCCTTCGCGGGTGCTGCAAACGCTGCGACCAGGATGAGGCTGAGCACATCAGTGGAGTCGGTCATGAGGGCGGCGCCGAGGTCGGAGCAGAGCTTTGCCGGCGAGCCCTCGGCGTCGCAGAGCTCAAGGTTGTCGACGCTCGTCGTGATTCGGTCCCCGGAGCCCTCGAGCACAACCACGTACTTGCTGCCCTGCTCTCGCCCGCCGCGCCGAAACGCGACCGCCTCTCCGCACTTGTGGAGAAGGTCTTTGCGTGCCTTCATGGCGACGATACGGAGGCGGCGCCCGACTAGGTGGCCGCCACGGGCGGCTTGCTCTGCTGCGGCCCAGGACTGGTCCATCGAAGGTGCGCAGGGCCGCGTCTGCGCAGGGCTCTATGCGCGCACTGTGCGTGTACAATGCACGCGCATTCGCAATGCGTCGGTCCTGCCTGGGTTCGGACTTTTTGCGGGGTATGGTATGGTCTTAGACCATACCCCCAGTTGCGTGACGGTGGTAGTAAAAGAATAGGAGGGTTGTCGTTTCTCGAGGTTGGGCACGACCTCGCCGTAGCTCGCCGAGGAGGGCTCCGCGGGATCGCGGTCTGCTCCACTGCCCTCGTGACAAGAGGGGCAAGGCGCGTGCCGAGGGCAGGGAGCGGGCGAGGCACACGGCCTGGCGGGAGGCGGCCCGCTTCGTGGCGGTGAGCCAGGATGGCGCTGGCGCCTTCCTCAACGCCTCCCCATGCCGGGATGACATGCGAATGAATGGAGACTTGGGCGATGCGGATCTCGGTGCAGCGCCGCCTGGGTCTCCCCCTCGACGTGGCCTGCCAGGCCGCGGCGGCGGGCAAGAAGACTCGAAACAAGAAGTACCACGACGAGTTCCTTCGGCGACGCTGCTGTCAACGTTCCGCAGCAGGGCCACAACATCATATGTGGAAGGGTCCACCGAGCCTCGGACCCTAGGTTTTGATCGACACTTGCTGATTTGGTACTTTCAACATTCGACGCGCTCTCCGCGCGCGACCTGCTCGTGCTGCTGCGCGCGATCTGGAACGTGAGGAGGCGCTCCTCGCCAACGCGCGCGAGATGCACCGCGCCCTCGTGGCCGAGGCGGCGCTGTAGAGTCGACTGTGGGCTGCCATCGATGACTGAGAGCCATGCGTGCCGGTTTGGGTGGAGATGCAACCGCGCGATCCATTGCCCGATCGACCGAGATACCGCGCGGCACGTGCTATTGAAATGAATCAGCTGGTATTGAAATGTATCAGTCAGCTGCTGCTTGAATGTTGAAAGAGAATTTTTGAAGCGATTACGGCTCTAGAGCGATTCGTTGGTTGGGGGTGTCCCAGTCGTTGCACGTTGGTCGGACTTTGTTTCGCCTTTATTTCTAGTGTAAGAGCTACATACACTGGGAGAAAAGAGAGAGGGGGTTGTGTTCTCTAGGCCCCTAAGGGCCCTACGCGCGGCGTGAGAGCTCGGAAGCGAGCTTTGCACGGCGATCTCTCTCTCTAGTGTATCTAGACACACACACTGATGCCATCCCCCATCCGACAAAAAGCAACTCCTTTTTAAAAGAACTTACGTAATGAAGAAACGCGTAACTTTTCCGCCGCGACAATAATAAATACGTGTGGATGATCGTCGAAAGCGACTCCCTTGGCCTCAAGCCCCCGCAGTGGACCTGGGACCCGCTGAATCCCTTCACACCCACCGCGCTCGACGGCAACAACATCTACAGCTGCCCATTCGTTGACCAAGAGCCGACATACGCCGCCGCAGACCCCGCCCAGGACTGCTGCGTCGGGGGCTGGAGGCCGGGGGAGGCCCTCGGTTCCGGATGGCAACAAAATGTGGACAACGAGTTCAGCAGCCTTGGTCTTGCAAAAACGAGGACCGACGAATTGCGCCTACATCGTGAGGACCGTCCTACCGGAGGCAAACGGCGTTGACTGGGGGGTGAGGCCGTTCCCTAACGGGAAGCAGTGCTGGGCGATCTTCAACCACACAAACACGTATGGCACGGATAATGGAATGGGTGGCTACACGAGGGAGACCTGCGTGTTCGGCTTCTACTGCGGGCTCTCGGCGTCGCAGCAGGACAAGGGCACTTGCGTCATATCGCCGGAATCTTGAGCGTCCGCGAGATCACCGGAAGCTGCTACACACGGCGCAGGAGGCACACGTGCGGGGCAGGAGAGGGCACTCACGATGTGAGGGGTGCATGCATGCATGTATGGGATCGCGAGAGATTTTTCCGTTAGGGCGCGGGCGAGCGCCGCCAGCGCGGCGAGCGCCGCCAGCGTGGGCGAGCGCCGCCATCGCGGGCGAGGGAAGATCTGCGGCGAGGGCAAGAACATCGTCCGCGCGAGGGAAGAAACTATCAGTCTAGCCTGGGAAACTGAATCGGCGGAGATAAAGGCGCGGGGGGACCCCCGCGGACGGCGCTGACGATGTGTTGTCGGTCCCTCGCGCGGACGATGTTGTGTGGAGTGTGTGCCCCTTCATATACACAGAGGCTTTAGAGAGGGCTCTCTACGCCCTCGCGGCCCGCTGTAAAGAATATACGTACCCATACGGCTTTACGGCTCTACGGCTCTAGGATAAAGCCGTACGCTCAGCGACCTTCTCTGATCTCTCAGACATGAAGTGTGTTTCCTTTCCATTTCGGTTCTTTGACCACGGCGCGAGAGCATGAGAGGTAAATCCGCCCCAGGCCCGGTCATAGCGTCCACCCCTCCTCCTCAAACGCAACCACGCTGTCGTCATCGCTCGAGTCGTACGCGTCTTCGCCGCCGGCCGGCGTGGCGGCGGCGAGCGGGGTGCCTCCCGCCGCCAAATCGGCGGCGAGCCAAGCGCACACCTCCCTCCGCTCCCCCGCCTCGCCCCCCCTGCCGCGCGCGTACTCGCCGTACGGCACCACGCGCCCCGCCACGCCCGGCACGCCGATTGCGGCGGCGCTCCTCGCGTCGTCCGCAGACAGCGCCACCTCGTCCAGCTCGTCCAGCCCGGCGACCGCCGCCGCCGCGCCGCGATCCTCGTGCTCCGGCGCCGCCGCGCGGCGCGCCATCAGACCAAGATCCGCCGCGGCGGCCGCGCAGTTGCTGCCGTCCACGAAGTTGGCGGCGATGGCGACCGAGACGGCCGGGTCGGCGTCGCTCTCTCCGTTGCGGACGCGGTGCGGCGCTCCCCCGGGCACTAGGAGCAGCTCGCCTGAGGGGCGGGCAGGCGGGGCGGCCGTGTCGTGGCGGTGCCGTGGCCGTGTCGTGGCGGTGCCGTGGCCGTGTCGTGGCGGTGCCGTGGCCGTGTCGTGGCGGTGCCGTGGCCGTGTCGTGGCGGTGCCGTGGCCGTGTCGTGGCGGTGCCGTGGCCGTGTCGTGGCGGTGCCGTGGCCGTGTCGTGGCGGTGCCGTGGCCGTGTCGTGGCGGTGTCGTGGCCGTGTCGTGGCTGTGCCGTGGCCGTGTCGTGGCGGTGCCGTGGCCGTGTCGTGGCGGTGCCGTGGCGGTGCCGTGGCCGTGTCGTGACGGTGACGTGGCGGTGCCGTGGCGGTGCCGTGGCCGTGTCGTGGCTGT